CCATTCACAAGTATCATCATTGGCGGATCTTAAAAGGGGTCAGGGGAGGCTATGCCCTCTCCGGTTTTAAAGCTTCTAATACCGGCATATGTATAGTGTATATATGAAATAAATCAACTAATCTATAAATTGGCTAGTTGGCCCCTGATTTAAGCTTACTGATATATACTTATTGATATATATATGTAAAAAAAAATTAATAAAATTTAGTTTCTAAGTAAGAAACAACATACCAAATTAACCAAAAATCAAGGAGATCACGAAAAAGTTGTAACAATCCCATTAGGCAACTATATCTCTTAAACAATTAACTATATAAAAAGCTAAAATGTAATCAAATTTATGAGGTTCTTGGCTCAAGTTTTGAGTAATAGAAATCAGTAAAACCCTCACAAAAAGTATCAATCAACCGGAAAAACTCAAAATTTCACCGCCAAAATGACGTTGTCGCCTAACTGCACCTCCTCCACCTGTTGTCGTTGTCGGACTGACGCCTTCTTCGAGCACTCATTCATCTCAACAGGACGCCAGACAGTTTACCTATAACATTCCCTTTGCGATCCAGGCTCCTCTCTACCGGAGTGAGCTATACTTGGTTTCTTCCGGTACTCTCTCATTGCTTTATATTTCTTGGTTAAAGATTGTGAAGTGTGAACGGTGATTGTGAAGATATATATAACAAAGTACATCTAACACCAATTGCTTTATCGTGTAAGATACACTAAAATCATACACAATTGCTTTATGATAAAGCATATAAAAATATTTATCATTTTTATACCCCATTATTCTTTGAAAATGTAAAAACAATTTGAAAACAATAAAGGGTATAATACTTAACATATGCTATCTTATATATAGTGAAAAGTAACTAACTTGTATTTTTCTCCAAAGTGGTTGTTTGTTACATATATTTAATTTATTTTTTAAAATTTGATAGTATCATATTTTGAAACGATTTCTTTACATGGTTATTATAAAGTTTTGATTTTGGCCCCTCGGTTTTAGTATTCATGTTCCACCGCTGAGTGTCATATTATTAAAACTTCTTATTAATGTTATATATCACCTATCATCTCACTTGTCAACCTATTAATTATCAATATCAAATTTTAAATTTAATATTTCTCACTCTAATTACATTAAATTAATAATTAATTCTCCATTTTAAATTTCAAATTTCAAAATTTTTCATTCTAATTATATTAAATTAAAAAATAAAATAAAATCATATCAAATTATAAAGTGATATAACTTTATGTATTTATTTAAATCAAGGATTATAATTTTATACAACTAAAAAAATATTTCTTAAATAATAATTTATTTAAAGTAATTGATTAATAATTTTTATTTTTTAATAAGAAAGTTTAATTAATTTTATAACCGTTGTTATCACGGATTATAAACTACTAAAATTTAAAACAATAAGTAAAATAGTTACTTAAAAGCGTCAAAGTTAGAAACATATAAAACTTTTTGGATAAAACCAAACATGATGATATGTTTTATAAGTCAAAATATCATCACATTATACCAAATGTTTCCAAAATTACTTTGGGCAAATTAATGTTGTCCTACAAACCTACTAAACGTAACCAAACAACAGGCTACAACCCACTTGCTAATTCGGTCCACTAGTCATCAATACAACTATACAAGTCAACAACTCGTTCATTGCTACGAAGACCAGGTTCGAATCCTTGACGTGGTAATTCGTTGGATTACCATATATATATATATATATATATATATATATATATATATATATATATATATATATATATATATATATATATATATATATATATATATATATATATATATATATATATATATATATATATATATAGAGAAAGAGAGAGAGATAGGTTCAAATGTTTTCAACAAGTATTGTGTGCTTAAATGTACCAATTACAATTTAGCAAATTATTAATTAATTTTTTTAATACATGAGGGTAATTATGTAATCTTTCATTTTAATTCCTTATTTATTCTTAATCTTATCCCTTTATATTAGACAATGTTTTATGATTGATTTACTTATCTTTAATGTAATTTTCTCTATATAATCGATTTTAATGTCCGATCCACAAACACAGATCACAATTGTCGAATACATAACCTGCGGATCAATTTGTGTTACTCATTCGATGGATGTTCATACTGGAAATCGGAACCAGGTATTGCTACATATTTGCAAGCATCTATCAACGATAATCCTGATATTGTTTCAAACGTCCCCCACACACCCTTTTACTGTTTTTATATATACAGATGTATTAAATCTGATAATCTTCCAGGAAAACGATGATCAAAATCCCGGGAAGGATTTGGGTAATGTCAGTTATCCCAAGAATCCGGTGAATCAAGTTGTGAAGAAAATAAGAAGATGTAAAACATGCTTTGGAGTTGGTCATGATAGCAGGAATTGTCCTTTCGGATTGAAGAAATCATAGAACTACAAGAACTTCATCAAATTGGTCGTTTTTAGATATTATTTAGTTTGATTTCAGTAAAATAAAAGTAATTTTTGATGAATTATATGGTATTATCAAGTTTCAGTTCAATGTAATAAAGTGGTTGTTTGATGAATTCTATGTGTCTTTCTTTAAGTATTATGGTTAGAATTAATAAGATGTTCGTGTTCTCTGCTATATTTATGTGTTATATGATCATACAGGTTATCATTCCAACAGAATATCAAGGCAGATTCGAGTTAACAAGAATTATTAATGCATTCATTGATTCGAGTTAACAAAAATTGATATGTTTTATAAGTCATATTTGCTATAGTATTCTGATAGAATTATTTCATTCCGATAACATGCAAAGTTTTTTAATCCATATTTATACAACATTCTAATAGAATAATTTCGTCAATAAAATATTCTGCAACTTTTCTTTAAAAAAATACATAATAATATTGTTAAGTAGTTAATATAATGTACTGTAGGAATTTTTTATATTTGGAATGTGAATATAGTACCATATGAATATTTTTTCCTTTATCAAGTTTTTAAAAAAAATCAAATCGGAAACTTTATTTTTATCAATGATCCCTAATATCAAGGGTTTTAATGTGCATAGAATCCGTTTTCATCCCTATTTAGTTTGTATGACATTTTTAAATATTTTAATTTTTCAACAAACAAAGCATATACAAACACTCTCGGAATTTCTTAGCAATGGGCGATCAAGAACCAGATGTCAATAATCATATTAATGAGGAACATTATTTGGCTAGTGATGATGACAATGGAATTGAAGATTTTGATTTTCCTGATAATGATACACTATATAATGACGGATTTCAAACAGGAGAAAGCAGTAATCCTGATTTAGGTTAGTTTTTTGATATTTTGTTTAATTTTTCATTTTATTTTCAGATTCTATATTGTAACAAACATGTTTAATGTTAAATGTTAATATTTTCATTGCTGAACATACAGAGGACGCAAATAATGATGAAGACGAAAATCACTTCGTTGATGAAGATATAGAGATTAATATTGATTACAGTGAAGGTACTAAATTCAATTCAGGATACTCAAGTTGTTACAGAAAAAAGTTAATGCTTTCAGAATAATATTTATATAATTCTTTCAGAATGATTATGTATTTGCTATTTTAAACAGGACAACCACATGTTATTCATGAAGATACAGAGTTTAATATTGATTTCAGTGAAGGTACTAAATTCAATTCAGTATATTTTAATTTTTACAGAAAAAATAAAATTGTGTCAGAATAAAATTTATATAATTCTTTCAGAATAATTTTGTATTCGCTATGTTTAAGCAGGACAACCACATGTTACTCATAATTATGTTTCTCCTGGTGGCACCTTGTATTGGACTCCGATTGTTTTAGATGACATCAAACCAAAAGTTTCATCAAAATTTAATTCATATGGTGAAGCAGAACGAATGTATAGAAAATATGCATTAGAATCTGATTTTGATGTCAAGCTTGGAAGAGTCCAAAAAATGAAAAATGGGATTATTACAAATAGACATCTTGTGTGCAATCGGGAAGGTTATCCGAATACTAGTAAACTAGATACTCTAGATATTCAACATAAAAAGACTCAAAGAAGGAAATATTTATTTAGGAGGAATTGTAAAGAGAAAGTTGTTTTATAAATAATTCTCGGTACTCTTACATATGTCGTGAGTGATTTTGTAGAGCGACATAATCATGAGTTGTTTAGCAAAGGCAATATGGACTTATCTCGTTCAAAAAGAAAACTTTATTATTCCCAAGAAATTTTCATTCATAATTTGTCAAAACAAAACATTGGTCCTGTAAAAGCACATAGACTGTATAGTGCTCTTCAAGTTGGTCCTTCCGTTCGAGGTGGATTGGTTACTGATTTTAAGAATGCTAGTAGGAATCTTAATTGTTACATAGGTGGGAGGGATGCGAAATTCTTTGTTGACAAGATGAATGACAGGAAGAAAAATGTCCCATCATTTACTTTTGAGTATAAAGTGTCGAACAAGAGATTGAATTCTTTATTTCGGGCTAACGAAACAGCAAAATATAATTACAATTCATTCGTAGACGTTGTATCACTCGATGCCACATTCAGCATGAATAAGTATTTATAATCTTTAATACTTTTCAATAAGAATTTCATTATTTTCAGTTATGTAAACTAATATTTTATTTTTTAAATAGGTATGATATGGTTTTTGTTCCGTTTACTGGCATCGATAATCACAAAAAATGTGTAACATTTGGTGCTGATCTTTTAAGTAAAGAAGATGGAGTTTCTTATGAATGGTTGCTTAGAGCTTTTTTGAAAGCTTTTAGAAAACAACCTCAATTGGTTTTATCTGATCAAGATCCAGCTTTGAAAAAAGCTATAGATAAGATTTTCCCATTGGCACATCATAGGTTATGTATGTGGCATATAACGAAGAAGTTGCCTAATAAGGTATGCTTAAAACAAATATTATTCGTATTTTTTTGGCATGATTCTAAATTTATTTTCTCATATTCTACCAGTATATTTTGTTTTAAACAGAATCAATTGCATTAACTCTTAATTTTTCTTATCATTCTTCAATGATTTTTTAAAATCCCTTGAAAAGTTCATTCATTTTCTCCATTCACTCATTCAGCACCACACTATGAGGGAATTTTTCCAAACCATCCTTCAACGCAACCTCCATAGTACTTTTCTCTATTAGAATTACCCCATAACTATGCTCTATAACAGCAGCGTACGCCTGTAATACATATAATTAATAAATAATGACATTATAAGAATATGTACTATATATTCTATTAGAATATATCATTAACTATTAGTTTCAGAATATGTACTTCATATTTTACCATAATATTACCTCCTCATCTCCAAAATCCCTCTTAAAGCTTAGCATTTGCTGTTCTTCAGCTCCTGTTTCATCGCCCATATCGACATCATCATGCTCATCCCGAAACTGCCTCCCGCCAAACGGATTTCCAATCGTTGAATCTCTAACAATTTAGCATCGTTTATATGCCCAATAAAAGGAAGCCTTTTGTCTATCTTGATAGAATACTTCATGTTATACACGTACACCAAATGAAAAAAAAACATTAACTTAATCAATACATCAATAATAAATCGATACAAAATATATATTTTCATATAAAACTATTTCAAACTTACAATCAGAAGTGTAATAGGACCACTGTAGTAGCTTGATTTGTCATCCCTTTTCCATAGTTTTTTTTTAGATCCCAAACAATCAAGCATATATTTACACCAATTTAACTTTGAAAAGTCTTCTACCAACACCAACTTCCTTACCACTTTTATTTGATTTCTTCCCATCAACATTGACTCTATGAAGTTGTTAACAAATAGGGTCAAAAAATTCAGCCTAAACATCAAATTATCCTTTGTTGTAGACTGAATTCTTCTTAAATACTCCTCACCATTGAACTTATCACCACTATATTGTCCCCTCCATTCTTCTAGAATTTCATTTCCCTTATCACACAATGGTAACTCATTGATGTCTTCTCCACCAAATGGCAACCCCATCATATCATGCACTGTTTGTTCTGTTATCTCAATAACAGAGTTTTGTAGGACAAGTCTTTTACTATCTGCATCATAAACATCTAAAAGATAGTAGCTTAGTTGTCCCGGATAACTTGTAATATTCACTTGCAGAATTGATCCAAAACCCATTCTCAAGATTACTTGTTTCTATTCCGGCAACATTCCCATAACAGCTGCAGTGACGTTATCACATTTCATTCTGGTTGGAAGGTATCTTAAACCAGGTGGGTATTCCTTATTTGTTTTTCTAACATTATCTTCTTTTTCCTCTTTGACAGATTTAGCAATTGCCTTATTTTTTAAATGTTTTACAATTGGAACTCTATCAAATTGCCTCTTCGACCTTATCTCTCTTTCCAAAAGTAGTGCATTTAAAGGTTTAGGAGTTGTCTTTTGTTTAACTGATTTATCAAGCTTTTTCTTTGACCTTCTTTCTTGGTTCACATGTTCTTCTTCATGAATTTGTTCTGATACAACACACAATAGATAGCATAATGTTTAGTATTAGATAATTTGGGATTAATGTTTTATAAATTAAGATATTCCTTATATTATAACAGATTAAAATTTTATTTGTATAACAAAACCATCATACACACATCACACAAATATATTACAATATAATAAATTCTAACAGAATATAAAAAATAAATTATTCTACAACAATCAAATACAGTTTATTCATAATTATACCAGAATCATATTCACACTCATATGCAACATTACATTCTTTTAGAATATTACGCACGTAATCTTTTCCAATATATAAGATTTTGATTGTTTCAGTTTAATTCATTAATCATCTACAAACTTTGATTCAGTTACAATTTAACATTTTTATGCTATGCTAATTAACTACTTACACGGATAAATTTTCATTACAAAGTTAACTAATAAAACAAGTAGGCTAATTCTACAAGACTCAAATACATTTAATTTAGAATTCTATCAGATTCATACAATCGAATTTCACACTAATATATAATATAACATTCTATTAGAAGTGTTAAATAGTGAAACAAGTTGACTTATGCTAGCAAAATATCAACCATTTTCAGGTTCATATACACAGAACATTCTATTAGAATATGAAACATGTAAACTTCTTCCACATAAGTTAACTATGATTTTTTTCAGTTGAAGTCATTAATCAGCTACAAACTGTGATTCCATTACAATTAAAAATCTGTATAAAATGCTAATTAACTACTTCAATATAGAAATTTAGAGTATAATGTTAACTAGTAAAACAACTAGACTTATGCTAGCAGAATATCAGCCATGTTCATGTTTGTATACACATAAAATTCTATTAGAATATGAAACATGTAACCTTATTCCACATACAGGAACTATCAATTTTTCAGTTTCAGTCATTAATCATCTACAAACTATGATTCCATTAGAATTAAAATTCAGTATAAAATGCTAATTAACTACTTCAGTATAGAAATTCAGCTTACAATGTTAACGAGTAAAACAAGTACACTTATGCTAGCAGAATATCACCCATGTTCAGGTTCTTATACACATTACATTCTAATAGAATATGAAACACGTATACTTATTCCACATACAGGAACTATCAATTTTTCAGTTTCAGTCATTAATCATCTACAAACTGTGATTCCATTAGAATTAAAATTCTGTATAAAATGCTAATTAACTACTTCAGTATAGAAATTTAGCTTACAATGTTAACTAGTAAAACAAGTACACTTATGCTATCAGAATATCAACCATGTTCTGGTTCTTATACACATTACATTCTAATAGAATATGAAACATGTATACTTATTCCACATACAAAAACTATGATTTTTTCAGTTTAAAATGCTAATTAACTACTTAAATATAGAAATTTAGATTACAATTCTACCAGAATATCAAAAATGTTTAGGTTCATACACACAAAACATTCTATTAGAATATGAAACATGTAACCTTATTCAACATACAATCGCTACGATTTTTTCAGTTTTAGGTACTAAATCATATACAAACTGTGATTCCATTAGAATTTAAAACCTGTAAAAAAGCTAACTAACAACTTAAATATAGTAATTTAGTTTACAATTTTAACCAGTAAAACAAGTATACTTATTCTATCAGAATAACAACCATGGTTACGTTCATATAAACAGAACATTCTGGCATAATAATATACACAGTAACGATTCTTAATAAAATACGAAAAAATGACACATTTTTCTTCCAGACCACAAATCATACATGCATATAAAAGATTTCAAAAACACTACCTAAATTCTACTACATTTTTCGAACTAAATAAACATTAAATACCACAAAAAAAATTGTTACCTTCAGGTTCAGCAACGAAATCTTCATTGTCGTCTTCAAGATTCAACGTCGTTTCTACTGTGTTCTTGAACTTTGACTTAAATGAACTGAATCGTGTATTCCTCATTGTTGCAGAATACCGTTAATATAAGCCCCCAAATGTCGATTCCGTCTTTTAGGGTTAAATGTCGATATTTATAAGAAAAACCTTCAAACGATCTTCTGATTTTTGAAGATTGATTAGAATAAATCAAAATGTTTTTCAACCTCCTAAGGATTTGGGTTCTTGATTATGAGAGTAAGCGAGATATGTGGGATTATCGGTTGATCATTTCATATTATCCACCGTTTCCTGATTAAATGACGGGGCAAAATACCATTTTACCCTTGTTTGACCGGTCAATTGATTAAAGCCTATTTATTTTATTTTTTCTATTTAATTTAAAAAGAAAATCACTTTCTTAAATTACCACAAATGATTGGCCTACAATCATTTACATGGGCACACAATACTTAATAAAAACAAAATAACCTAACCATATATATATATATATATATATATATATATATATATATATATATATATATATATATATATATATATATATATATATATAATAAAAAAGGGATGGTGCTAAAAAAAATCATTTTTGAGAGTTTTAATTACATTGATTTCTAAATTATGATAAAACTTTATAAAATGTCTAATTAATCATATAACTATTTGAATTTTAGGTGTTATTATTCCCACCAATTTAAAAGGGGTGATTCTATGCGCACCAACAAATATATATCTAGACGAATGACCCAAATAAATTGATGTATTTGACCTTTTACTGGTAGCTCTTAATATTTTTTTTACCTGAAATTTTATTGTTTTTTATTATTTAAATGAAGGTGGTGTAAATGTTTTACACTAAATATTACATTTCGATTTATATCCCTTTAAATATAATATGCTTGTAAGTTATACATCATTTATTTTGATTTTTCTAATTTATTTTTCTTTATTAATGTTTTATCCATTTTTAGCTTTTTTTTTTCTTTAGTCTTAATAATTTTAATAAATATACATTATTATTTTAACATTGAAAATATATTTTCTGTTCGTTCGAACTATTTTTGTATTATTTTTTTCATCAAAACTATCACTATATTATTTTTTCGTTCGGATTATTATGTATGAAAAATTAAATATCCTCATATTTTTTTTCATTTATGTATGAAAAATTAAATATCCTCATATTTTTTTTCATAGCCATCATTCTACCAATTTTAGATAATGACAAGTGTAATAAAAATTTATTAATTTTATTAAATTTGATAAATATCTTAAGTATATAAGAAAATGATAGAAAAAAAAAGGATGATATATATATATATATATATATATATATATATATATATATATATATATATATATATATATTATTCTTTCATTCAGACTATTCATTTAGTATTCTTTTGTTCGAATTATCTTCATGTTATTTTTTTCGTTACAATTATCTTTGTGTTGTTTTTTGTCAGATTATCTCATGTTAGTTTTTTTCGTTCAGACTATACATGTGTTTTTTTTCGTACAAACAATTTTTGTGTTTTCGACTATCCTTCTTATTTTTCCGTTCAAACTATTCATATGTTGTTATATCATTCAGATTATCTTTGTGTTCTTTTTTTGTTACGACTATAATTGTGTTATGTTTTTTGTTCTGACTATTTTTGCGTTGTTTTTTTTTCAGTCGGATTATCTTCATGTTATTTTTTCCGTTCGAACTATCTCGGTGTTATATTTTTCGTTCCGAGTATCTTTGTTTTTTTTTTTTTTTGTTTCGGCTATCTATATGTTATTTTTCTGTTTGGACTTTCATTGTGTTTTTTCTTTTTATTCTAACTATCCATGTGTGATTTTTTCGCTCGAACTATCATTATGTTAATTTTTAGTTCAAACTCTCTGGTGTTATTATTTTTTTATTCAGACTATCCATGTGATAATTTATAATTTGAACTATCCTTGTGTTAATATTTAGTTCAAAACAACATGTATAGTTTAGCGAGTTAGAGAAATTATAAATTGGTTTGTCATTAAAAACGTAAGTTAAAATAATAAAATATTATTAACGTTTAGTGAAAGATAAACTTTATTGAAAATGAATTTGAGTATTTCATATAAAATTGTTCAAATTAAAAAAATAAAAAGTATAAGGTTTTGTTTTGTAACTTGCATCTAATTTAAAAGAGAATACAATGCAAAAAAATGTTGTTGAAATTAAAAATAATAAAAATTATATGGGTGTGTTTTGTAGCTTACAACTAATTTAAAAAGAGAATACAATGCAAAAAAAAATATAGGGTAATTCTAAACACACGACTTGATTTCCAAATACACGAACAGTTAACTGAGTTGATATATGTCATTCAACAAATTTAATTATTTTTAATCTATTAAAATAAATTTGTCTTTATTTAAAATTTGAAGATATAATTTTCAATTTACATTAAACGTGCTTATATTTTTTATAGATTTTGAAATCAAACTTTATTCTTTTTAAAATTTTAGTTTATATATATATATATATATATATATATATATATATATATATATATATATATATATATATATATATATATATATCCCTATTTTAATAAAATAGTAGTTTTTAATCTCCTTTTGATATGTGTCACCATATGAACACGATGAGAAGATTGGGTAATATTTATATGTGATAATAAATGTAAGTGTATTCATATATAAATCCATCACCTCCCATCTGCCAGCAACCACCAACACCGCTACTGTAACACCCAAAGTCGGGAAGGCCAAGAAGGAAAGAAAACCCTAAGTCAAAGGGGTCAACTCGCCAAGTTCAGTGCGAAACTTAGCGAGTCCAAGCGGGATCCGGGTTCAGGAGTTAGTGAACGACTCGGCGAGTCGGCTAAGGGGACTCGGCGAGTCTGGTCTGAACGAGGAAAACCCTAATCCGGGAGTTGTATCCTATATAATGGGTGTTATGTCCCTCCCTCAGCCTCCTTATCATCCTAGAGAACTGTAAACCCTAGATTCATGTGAGATTCCATCATTTGAGAGAAATAGCTTTGGAGGAAGGAAACTTTGGAAAGGAACTTGAAGATCAAGAAGGTTGCTTCAAAGGGGAGGTGAAGATCCGAGATCTACTTCAGTTTGTGTTCATCTTGGAGGTAATAATTTGCTATCTTCCCTCCTTTGCATCTAGATCTACTTTTGTTATGAGATTTGGGGGTTTTATGGTTGTTTGAGACCCAATTTGAGTTTGGGGCCTAGATATGTCGTTGCAACTTCAGATCTAGTGTTGGGATGGTCCAATATGTCATAAAGCATTAGAAGATGAGTAGTTGGTGAAGCCATTTTGTCCCTAAACCTAGCCCTAGAGTGTTTTGAGCCTTGATCTCTTTAGTTATACGTAAAGTTTGCAACTTTACGTGAGGATTGAGCTTTGGGAGTATGGATCTATAAGTTGGAGCCTTTGCATGGCTCGAATAGTCACTTTATGGATTAAGAACTGGTGCGACTCGGCGAGTCACATGGGTGGACTCGGCGAGTTGGATGAAGTTGGGCAGGAACACGACGAGTTGGAAGAACAACTCGGCGAGTCTGTTGAAGATTTCCTTGGACTCGGCGAGTCAAGTCGCGAAACCCCAAACCCTTTCGAGTTAAGACTCGGATTAGTGAGTTGAATGGGGACTCAGTGAGTTGGACAGGTCAGGACTCAAAAATCGGTGAACTCAGCGAGTCAGCAGGCAGACTCAGTGAGTAAGGTTGACCTTGACCAGGACTTGACTGTGACCAGAGTTGACTTGGTTGTCTTTTGAGGGATAGTTAGACTAAGTGTTGTATTGATATTGGTAGCTCGGGGAGCTAGTGGAGCAAGAGTTCAAAGAGTTGTCGGGGCAACATCTAGAGGGGTTATCAGCAAGTTCAGCAAGTGCAGGTCAGTTTTCTTTTGTGTGAATGGGTCTAAGGCCACAATGTCGGCCCATGTAGATACGAGTAGGAAGACCCGGGGGTTAGCCCTAGGCACAATATGCTAGTATGATATTCAGGACGAGGTCCAATGATAGCGGACGGGTGCCCAAGGAATGATTTATGATAGTTTATACTTGTTGTTTGTGTGATACATGTAAGTGCCTGGTAGGGGGTGAGTGTGGGCGAGGTCTTGTATCTCACTAATAGCAGAGTGTGGATGGTGTTCCACATCTTATTAGCAACAGAACAGGGGCGAGGCCCAAGTTAAGGAAATAAAGTGTGGGCTGGGCCCGTATCTCACTATTAGTAAGGGTGTGGACGGGGTTCCATGACTCATCAGTAGTAGGGCAAGGGAGAGGCCCAAGATAGGCGAGGCCTCAGGACAGGATTTGTGAGTATATGTTAGCATATGTGTTGTTATATGCTTATGTGCTATTATATGTTAGCGGGCGGGGCCCAGTGACAGGCGAGGCCTAAGTTAAACAGATCTGTATCTGAGCGGGGCTCGAAGCCAGGCGAGGCCTGGAGTGGCGGGGCCGTTGTAGCGAGCGAGGCCCGAGGTAGGGGTGAGGCCCAGAATAGAGGGTGTGACCCTGTATGTGGTTATGCATGGTATGTGGTAGGGTGGGGAACTCACTAAGCTTCGTGCTTACGGTTTTCAGTTTTGGTTTCAGGTACTTCTGGTAGCGGAGGGATAAGCTCGGGGTGATCGCATGGCACACACCATAGATTAGACAGCCTGAGAATGTTTTACTCTGATAACGATCATGTGTTTTGGAAATTAATACTCTGTTTATGTTTTGGATTGATGATTTTGCTTTAAGTAATGTTTTATTAAAAGAAATTTTTAGTCTTGAATTTTGGGTCGTTACAGCTACCAGCCACCACCACCACATCTATCATTGTCATCGTCATCAACATATCTACCACCTACAAACACTACCACCGCCACTGACATCGCCACCACCATCCACCATAATATTAAACTATTTTGTTATGATATTAGCGGTGTTCCATAACTTTGTTATGATACTAGTTATATTTTGTTTTTTAAAATTTAACGGATTTACAATTCTGGAAGTGAGCATCAGCTCGGACCCAAGACGAACGGGACAGAAAATGGAAAA